CTGTAGCTTCTCAGATTGAGGGAACACATGCCCTTTCCCCAAGGGCACCTTCCAACAACTCAGTTTGAGGAATCACCCAACCGTTACATGCCCGATAGGCTTGAGAGAAGGCTGAAGTATCTTGCAAAGCTGTGCAAATATAATGATTTTAGAGCCAGGCAGAGAAGTGTTGGATCTTGGCCATACATTGTAGGGAATTGTAATGAAATCAATTAGTAGGAATAAGGCTGCTGTGACTAATGATCTAATGAGCGATGCTTGAGTGGAAATGGCTCTAAGAGAGCTGCAGGGTTGGATTCCTGATGTATTATTCATAGGGACAGGCCAGATTCAGGCTTGGCATTGTTTATTTTTTACTTGGTTTTTCCAGGTTTCTCTTTAACTTTCAAAGGTGTTCTTCATCAATGGAGAAAATGGAGGAGGGCAAAGATATCTGTTTAATTCCTCTCTTTTAGGTGCAAAGTGGCTCTCATCTCTAGAGAATTATGGTTTCTATGAGAGACAGGTGAGGGACACGATGCGTCAGAGGTGAAGTTCATGGTAGTTTAGTTCTTGGCACTCTACCCACGAGCAGGTTTACAGGTTGGATGAACCCATCCTTTCTACTGGCTTCCTTAAGTGGCTTTCATCATTGACATGATTTTGAAGCTACTAGGAGAAAATTGTGAATTGTTTGAATAAATCTTCTCTTTACCTTTCTAATACATATATCTATGGTGGTTATGATCGACCCTCCTACATGTACTAACTTAATATCTAAAATGGAGAAACAAAGGTTAATTTTTCATGGTCAGCTAGCAAATCATTGGCAGCGTTTAGAACAAACCTCTAAGTGGGCGGCCTTCAGGCCAGCACTCATTCCAGTTGCTTCTAGTAACTCATGCACCTCCTATCAACGTTGCACGAAAATAACAGAAGAGCACTGATGAAAAAGGAGCATTAACGAGTGGTTAAACCATGTGAAATACAATGCTGGCTCTATTTCTGGAGTTGGTACTACCTTGCTCCAGAAGCCTAATTGACCTTATATATATGATATTGAGATAATAATCTTTCCTCATTTTACAGGAGTGTTTTTGGGTTTAACCTACTCGTAGGTGTGCAGCAAAAGCTTAGCACTAGCATATGACACTGTCATGTCAGCACATCTCCACATCTACCTCTGTATGAAATTACAGCTTTTGCTGATACATTTGTTTGCTCTGGAAAGCTGTGTGATTCCTAGGAGATATATGAAGAGCTGTTTAGAATCAAGAACATCGAGAGTTTAAAATTATCAAGTAAAAAAGGCTCTGAATCAAAACCAGTGCCTGCACTTCTATAAGTACACATGTAGCTCATGGTCCCTGCAAGTCTGCCCTGGAGGTGGATGATATTTTAGGACTTCCCAGTGGGACCTCCTCAGCCTCACAATTAGGCAGTGTGAGCCAGTCTATTGTGAAGTCATGGGATTTTGAGATTATTTTTGGATTACTGGATTTTATTTCCAGTGTGGATGTAACTCCTGTAGGTCTGCTCACATCAGATGAGGATGCCTCCACCCAGAGACTGTCTCAGCTGGCCAGGTAGGATGGGAAAGAGGTTTGCACAGGTTTCTCAGCAACAGAACAAGGAGCAATGGTCACAAACTGGAACACAGGAGGGACAAACTGTTTTACTGTGAGGGTACCAGTGTCCTGGACCAGGCTGCCCAGAGAGGTTGTGGTGTCTCCTTCTCTGAAGACATTCAAAACCTGCCTGGAGGTGTTCCTTGGTGATCTTATCTGAGTGATCCTGCTCTAGCAGGGGGGTTGGACTAGATGATCTCCAGAGGTCCCTTACAAACCTGACCATTCTTGTGATTCTGTGATTCTCAGGCTGGAAGTAAGCATTTGACTCTGAATTGTTTCCTTTTTTTAATAAGAAAATCCTCTGAAATGCAGAGTTTACTTATACTAATTTGCTTTTGAACACATACACTAGAAAGCGTTTTTATTTTCAAATCTATCTTGTGGGTTGTTGAGGCAAATTTATACAGCTTGTGTCTTTTTCTTTTTTTCTCTGTAGTTAATGGAAAACCCCCAGCATAATAAGCTGTGATTACCCACAAAAGAATAATAGGAGTTCAACAAAACACTGTTTGAGTATTCCTATTAAGTCTTGTTATTTCTTTGGTGACTTGCCAACACTGCAAAGCAATTGCATAGGGTGTGCATAAAAGAGGAAACATTTCAGGCAATGCTTAAAGACTTAGATAAGATCAACTGAAACTATAAACAAGTAAGGTATGTTGTCATCTCCCAGAAAAAACAACCCTCCAGACTGAAGCAGGCACAAGAGTTAAGCAGGGTGTTGGCATGTATATTTCCATCCAAAATCTTATAACGTAATGAAGATCACATTTCAGATGTGCATGTGAAACTAATCATCTAGCACACATTGTTCGAGATCATTTAATACCAGAAACTACACCCCTTTCCATGTTTAATTTGGATGTTGTTTTTTTTTTTTTCTAAGAACAAAGCAAACATGAGCAGCGTATTTCCCCTTTCTTAATAGGATTATAAAATTCTCTGCCGAACATGAGGAACGCCAGACCAAGAATATACCAAAA